CACACACACACACACACACACCCACACACACACACCACACCCACACACACACACACACACACACACACACACACACACACCACACACACACACACACACACACACACACACACACACACACACACACCACACACACACACACCACACACACACACACACACACACACACACACACACACACACACACACACACACACACACACACACACCACACACACACACACACACACACACACACACACACACACACACACACACACACACACACACACACACACACACACACACCCACACACACACACACACACACACACACACACACACACACACACACACACACACACACACACCACACACACACACACACACACACACACACACACACCACACACACACACACACACACACACACACACACACACACACACACACACACACACACACACACACACACACACACACACACACACACACACACACACACACACACACACACACACACACACACACACACCACACACACACACACACACACACACACACACACACACACACACACACACACACACACACACACACACACACACACACACACACACACACACACACACACACACACACACACACACACACACACACACACACACACACACACACACACACACACACACACACACACACACACACACACACACACACACACACACACACACACACACACACACACACACACACACACACACACACACACACACACACACACACACACACACACACACACACACACACACACACACACACACACACACACACACACACACACACACACACACACACACACACACACACACACACACACACACACACACACACACACACACACACACACACACACACACACACACACACACACACACACACACACACACACACACACACACACACACACACACACACACACACACACACACACACACACACACACACACACACACACACACACACACACACAGACATCATCGCGAAAATAGTCAAAACGGATTCAGGGGACCTCAAAACGTAAAAAATCCGTCGAAAACTCGAGGTCGAAAAAAATCATGATTCCTATACTTTCCTTATATCTGTATACAGATAGGAAAGTAAAAATCAAGTAAAGAATAGAAAAATAAATTCCTCTTAATAGAAAAAGAGTAGAAATTTGGAATTTAAAGATAGTTAAGGTAATTTCAGTATCTATTTGTTTTAAAATCCAGTTTTTTAAAAAATGGTATAATTAAAAAAATATCTCGGAAAATCAGCTTAGATAAAAAAAAAAACATGAAAATAAAAGAGAATATAGAATTTCGTGTAAAATGTCTCTCCAAAATTTCATTTAAATCGCTTGACAAATAAATATAAATAAAATCAGCGGGTTATTACCTACTTCCATTTAATAAAAATATTAAAAGTAAAATAATATAATAATAGTTGAATGATTATATGTTTCATAATGTACTTATACGTGTATGACGTTGTTGTTCATAATGTTACTGATCATGTGGTATTTATGTCGCCATCAACATCAATAAAATATACGGATCTGACAAGATCAAATACACGAGCCTGCTTTGCCTATGCCGGAACGAAACATTCAGCAATCTCTCACTCCTCCTCCTCGTCACTGACACTGACGAGAATATCGAAATGTTGCATAAACATGGCAAGTCGCGCCAATAACGAGCTTATTTCTTTATATTTATATTTATATTTATACACGACACTGGCTGGTTTCTGGCGCGGTTCAGGCGCGACTCGTTTTATTTACACGCGCTTTATGTTTTATTGTTCATTTTGTTTTAATGTTTTATATTCACAGAATAAATAGTATATTAAAGTATAAGTGGATATAACGGTCTTTAAAACACGCGCGATTTTCCGAGTACGACGGAGCAGCCGGAGTTCTCGAAATAGAGCAAGTGTTTTAAAGACCAGTTATACACGAATACTTTACGCTATTTTTTTTTTTATTGGTATACTTTGAAATCCTAAATATTGGTATTATTTCTACAAAAAAAATGGAAATAAGAACTAATAACTGAAAATGGTTGAATTTGTGATGTAACATCAATATACCTCGTTGTCATGAAAATGAGACAAACAAAAATTTATTTTCAATCTGTCACGTAAGATTAATTGTCGCAACAGTTGTTATTGTTTAAAATGAGTTCAAATATTGAGTATTTAAATAATAAAGCAGAATCGTGCTTAATAACACAAAAATCCGAAGCGGTTTATAAAAAAGAATATGATAAATTCAACACGTGGATGGAAGAGCAAATGGTTACACATATAGATGAACGAGTTGTTCTCGCTTATCTCCAGAAAATGTCGGAACAGTATAAAGTATCGACTATGTGGACTATCCATTCAAAATTACAAAGTATGTTGAGGATAAACAAAGGGGTCGATATAAAATCGTTCGTCAAAGTGCATGCATTCATGAAGGCAATAAGCAAAAATGAGGTAGTCAAGAAGGCATATGTATTCGAGGAAGACGATTTGCGGAAGTTTTTTTACAGATGCACCGGACATTACATATTTATTTTTGAAGGTGGTTGCTATTTGTGGCATCTTTGGCTCTTGTAGAAGATGTGAATTGTGCGATTTACGCTTAGTTGATATCAAGGAAGAAGGAAGCGTATTGCTTATTACTATCCGACCATCTAAGACAGTGAAGTCTCGACGTTTTACTGTTGCAATTAGATATGTGTGAATAAATTTTTTGAAAAATTTCTCAGAAATATTTTGTTTAACATAACAAGGCACTCCTGTCAGATCAATATTTAAAAAGTTGGCATTTAGACATTACGTTTCTCGGGTTGTTGATGTTGCCATGGGTACGCGTTTTTTAAAGTTCGTTTTAAACACGCTGAGGCGTACTTTAAATAAGTAAAATAAGGTACCAATAAAAAAAAATAAACAATTTATTTTGTAGTTTTTTCCTGTTCCTATTATATCGCTTTCCATTTTCGATAATTTATTTATGCCTAGTATTGTTATTCGTAATCAATCTTATTGTGCATAATTATAACTATTGGTACGAAAACAGTATTTTAAGTCACTTTAAAAGTATCCGTAAAAGTATCCTTTAAAGTAGCCGGAAAAAGTATCCGCATACTTGTATCCGAGTACTTTTTAGGTGAAAGTATCCTAAAAAGTACCCGGATACATTGTAAGTATCCGTATCCGGTACTCGGATACTTTTTTCCTGTATCCGACCCAACTCTGGTCTATATGTCATAATTTTTAATTCAATTTAGAAGGTTTTACATTTTTAGTACAGGACGATCAATAAGTAGTAGAAGTATTTTTATATTATTTTAATTTGAAATGTTATTGTAGCCTGACATCATACATTAAAATATTCATTTTCTGATACCTGTATATAGACGTGAGATTTAACGTTATTATACTGTAGAGATAACGTCGTTTCACACATTCTGCAGTCGCGATATTGCATTTACAAAGGATAAGATGGCTTTCGATACGTCAGAAGCTGACAAGCGAAAGTTTAAATAACTTCAGCATACCTGCTTGTGCCATGTAGACGTGAATTGTAGTTGATGCAATAAAAATGCAATATATCATCTTGAAAACCTTTAGTGTCAGATGAGACATAAAATAAAGCTCAAGAAAATTTTACTCTCGGGAATAGCGATAGTGTAAGAAAATACTAATTATTGTTACTTGCTTGCGATGTAACAAAATAATAAAGTTTATCTGTAATGTTATTAAGTTCTTTTTTCAGTAATTATTAGTAGTTCGATTAGGTATACAGGGTGTCTGAAAAAAGGTCTTTACAAAAACATACCACATATTCCTTAGACCAAAATAAGTCGATTTAAGTAAAATTACTTTAGTACAAAGTTGCTTCGTTTGGTCTCCAGAGGGACAATTTTTAAATGGTTTTTCCCATATAAATTTAAAACGGCATATGGGATTTTGCTGAAATTTGGTATGTTGGTAGAGTTTTATGTGGCAAAAAAATGGTCTTAAAATTTTGTCCGATAATAATACATGGGCGTAGAACTTGATTTTTTAAATAATTGCACCTTTAAAAATTCTACGCCAATGGAAGAAAAGGAGTTTGAGTATGAAATTTAGATTGCGCAACTCATTTACTTCAAAAAAGATACTCTTGATAAGACTCGATTACTCTCATGGTTTTCGCTAAATTTCTGTTTTAATAATTTAGAGTGTATAGGTTTCACAAAAATATTTATTTACAACATAATCAAAATAGAGATTTTACAAAAATTGTTCAAAATGTTCACCATTTTCACGCATACAAAGATTTATACGTCGAAGAAAATTAAAATGTATCCTTTCCATAACTTCTTCATTGCCTCTAAAATTGTTTATTGCATCTTGAATACGTTGGCAGAGTTGTTCCTCATTTTCTACAGGTTCCCTGTATACTGTGGATTTCAGATGTCCCCATAAAATGTAATCCATCGGTGTTAGGTCTGGGGAACGTGGTGGCCAGTTTACAGATGCGTCATTACCTCTGCCTATATATTTGTGTGAATATTGTTCATTCAAGTGGTTTTTAACAATTAAAGAAACATGTGTCGGACTGGCCCGGTCGGCAAGTCGGCATTTGCCGACGGGGCCAAACCCTTTTGGGGGCACACGGTCAAGCACTAGAAATAAATCAAACAACCATCATAAAAATGTTGTTTACAATAATTTAACAAAATCAAGGAAATCTGACAACATTGGTGCAGTCTAGGCTGCTGAGACGATTAATAGAGATCGCCAAGCGCAAGTTATCTTAGTCCTGTGCGTTCTGCGTTAGGTTACTGTTGCGAAAGCGAGGCGAGGTGAGGCCTGCATTTTCTTATTGTTCTTTCTTGTTTTAACACATATACTTAATTTAGTTGTTTGTGATAGCACTCATTGTAATCAAAAAAATAAATCTTATTTTAGTTTGTTAAATCGAGTATCATGTTTCATTTCAGAGTCACATAAAAGAGTCCATTTATGGGAAACGTTAAAATTTGCTCACACCCATGTTAAAAGATTACAAAAATTTGGAGAAACTAGATGGTGGGCAAAGAGTAAGGCTGCTTCTAATATATTTGGCACGTTTGACGACAATTCTAAAGAAATTTATTCTACGTTGATACTTGCTTTATTAGAAATGGCTGAAAGTACAGATTTTGACTCAATAACATGCTCCGAGGCGCAGTCATTACTTGAAAATTTCTGCAAATATGAAACTCTTTTAATATCATTTATCATGATAAAAATTTTTGAATACGTGACTCCCGCCTCAAATTATCTTCAGACAGAAGATATTGATTTTATCCAAGCATACCATTTGGTAACAAATGGGAAATCAATGGTAAATGAAATGTATGACAAATTTGATTTAATTGTTAAAAAGACGAATGCATTTTTAAATTATATAAATCAAATTGAGACCTTTAGAAGCAAAGATATTGTAATTGAACATGAGCTGCCACAACAAATGTTAAGAAAAAGGAAACGTATAGTAGACGAAACAACTGAAGATTCCGTTATTACCGATACAATGAAAAAATTTGAAGTATTTAAATCAGTAATTAATCAGGCAATTCAAAGTATAAGCCAGAGCTTGGATTTATTAAGTGACTCCAAATTTACTGATATTGCAGAAAAGATTAGGATCGATAATGTGGAATTAAAAAAATAATTATTGAGTTTTACACAAATATACCCGGATATTAAAAAAAATGTAAAAACAGACCTCTGCATAAGTAAGTCTAAAACAAATGAATATATAGTACACTGCACTTTTAAAATTTTAAGAGAATACAATATGCATATATCCACTTTTTCAAGTTTGTATATACTTTATAAGTTTTTAATTACTTTGTCTTGCATTCAAGTGACATGAAAACGAGTATTTTCTCTATTAAAAATAGACTGGCCTAGAATTATTCCAGGCCCTAATATTAATGAATACGAAAGAGACATCTTAAATAGTATTAACCCAGAAAAATTATCGATAAGTTAGCTCCACAAGCTCAACTTATTATAATGCTTTGACTTTTTAAGCTTCGTGTTTTGTGATTGTATATACCAATCAATAATAGGCTGGTTTTTTATTTTTGTTATGTCCTTTAAGAATGGTAGTTTTATTTTGTTTTATGATTTTGTACGTGTACCTGTTCATTTTAATCATTTATGTCTGTGTACAACGTTATATTTTGTGAAAGTTTTAGTCAGATTTAGTCAAATAGCACTTACTTATTTGCACTCCTATTTTTGACTATGTAATATTAATTTTCTTATTTGTTGTTCTTTATGAAAGTCAGTTTTTTTTAATGTTAATTTGTGATTTATTACTTTTGTTTTTATTTATTTTGGTTTTAATATCTTAAAATTTTTCGTTTTGTTGTCTATTTTAAAAATTAAAAATGTTTTATATAAAAATTAACCTTTATTTTTTATTTATTACCTACACAGTATTTATATTATGTTTTAAACGCATAATTTTACAGTTTTTTAGGATTATTTGAAACGGTCGCCAAGTACTTGAAATTTCATGATTTTGGACTATCTATTTTAACACTACTTTTTAATATATAAATTCTAAATGTGTTGGTCTTGAATGTGATTAATTACCTTTATGGGAATAATCGAGTTGGTCAAAGAAAGTAGGATGGGGGGCCAATTACTCGTGGTGCCGATGGGGCCAAATTTAGCCAATCCAACCCTGGTGAAGCTATATCATGCATAAACCACATATCTCTCCGAAGTTGGAGAGGTAAATCTTCTAACAATTCTGGCAACGTATTTTGTAGAAAATCCAAATAATTTTCTCCAGTTAATCTTCGTGAAAGTATTACTGGACCAACAATGAAATTACCAATTGTTCCAGCCCACACATTAATTTTGAATTCGTGCTAAAAATGGTTTACCTTTATTGCATGCGGATTTTCAACGGCATAAACATATTCATTATGAGTATTAGTTATACCTCTTTTTGTAAAACCCGCTTCATCGGTAAAGAGAACCTTCTTGACAAACTTTGGATCTCTTTCTCTTTGCATATTAACAAATTGACAAAAACCCAAACGAATTTGAGGATCATGGACTAATAATTCTTGTACTGGCTTCTTATGGTATGGATATAGCAATTGTTCTCTAAGCACTTTATGAACGACATCTTTACTTACTCCTAGTTCCCTTCCAATTCGTCTGGTGCTTAATTCTGGATCTTCTTCAACACGTTCTAAAATATCTTCTTCAACTTCAGGAATCCTTACAAAACGTTCTCCTCCATTACCAACAGTGTTGGGAGCAAAGGAATCGGTCTCCCGAAGACGCATCTCAACAGCAGCAAAAGTTGGGTGGCTAGGTACACGATGATTTGGAAACCTTTCAGAGTACACCCTAACACTCTCTCGAGCATTTCCTTTACAAAATCCTAATGTCAGTAACATATCGGTATATTCTGCATTGGTATATTGTACAGCCATATTAATAAAACACGCATTTGTTTTTTTAATTATTGAGTCAGAACACTTTCAATCGTTAACAAGAGATTAGGTGTTAAAACTTGACAATATTTTTATTTAGATGAAACTATGGAAACCAACAATAAATGTTTTTGTATACGTATTGCAGGCAAATAATATTCCTCAAAAAATCGTACATGGCAAGAATCGAGTATTTTTGTTAAAAGTCTCGATTAGAGGTGTTGAAGAAGATATGAAAAAAGTACATTTTTATGTTCTTCATCGTATAAAATTTTGTCCTATAATAATAGATAGGCGTAGAACTTGATTTTTTAAATAATTGCACCTTTAAAAATTCTACGCCAATTGCAAAAAAGGGGTTTGAGTATGAAATTTGGATTGGGTACTCATTTACTACAAAAAAGTACCCTTGATAACACTCGATTTACTCTCATGGTTTTGACAAAGTTTGTATTTTAATAATTATTGTTTATGTTTCAAAATTACTAAAAGGCAAATTTGGTCAAAACCATGAGAGTAATCGAGTCTTATCAAGAGTACCTTTTTTAAAGTAAATGAGTTCGCAATCTAAATTTCATACTCAAACTCTTTTTCTTTTTTTTTTTTTAAGGTGAAGGGGGAGAAAAAGTCCTTTAGATCTCACAAGGAAAGTCAATGTTTAATTATTTAATAAAACATTGAGCGCGACCGGTTTCGAAGTGTCATCACTTCATCTTCAGGCTCGCCTAGTGGAAAGGAGAATATGTGGTGTAAGGTGTGTTAACACTTAGAGCAAACGATATATAAAATAGTAAAAAAGAGAAAACTCACCATACTTTCCTATACCAGAGGTTCTAGGTTTTGTTGAATCACATTTGTCAAGTTCGAATATGTCTGATATTGAACTAGTAGAATTTTTGAACCTTTTTAAGGTTTGTTAAGAACAAAACTTTTTTTCATTTAACAATGAAATCTTTTCACAAACAAATGGACTTTCTATGAGATCTCCACTTAGCCCAATATTAGCAGACATATTTATGCACAATTTTGAAAAAGAAAAAATCCTTAAAAACAACCCTTTCCACTCAAATGTGAAATTCTATTATAGATATGTTGATGATATTTTGATTTTGTGGTCAGGTAACTTAGACTCATTAAATGACTTCTTGACTTATATTAATGACTTACATTCTAATATTAAATTCACATTAGAAATTGAAATAAACAAATCTATTAACTTCTTAGATCTTAAAATCTCACACAATAATAACAAGTTCAACTTTGACATCTATAGAAAGCCAACACATACAGGCACAGTTATAGACAATACCTCTAACCATCCAGCAACACATAAATTGGCTGCCTTTAATTGCTACTTAGAGAGGCTATTAAACGTTCCTCTGTCTACGGAAAACTTTAATAAGGAACTAAATATAATTAAAACTATTGCTATAGATCACAACTTTGAACTAGATATTATTGATAAAATGCTAACACATAAACAAAATAAAATTCAACAAAACTTAGTTTATATTAACAATCCTAATATGGTACATGAACTAACCACCAGTAAGAAATACATTTCTCTTACCTTTATTGGAAAAGCATCCTATAAAGTGGCAAGCTTAGTTAAAGACCACTTTAAAGTATCTTTCAAAACCCCCTCCTCATTACATAAGGTATTTGTTCATAATAAAGATAAATTAGATCCCTTTGACTTATCTGGAATTTATAAATTAACTTGTAAATCTTGCCATTCTTTCTATGTGGGACGCACATTTCGAAATTTCAAGATCCGCTTAAAAGAACATTTGCGTTGTCTTAACCAAAATACAACAGGTTTTTCACATTTTGCCAACCACCTACTGGACTCAAATCACGACTTCGATTCAACTGAAGGTTTCGAAATCCTACATAGTTCCTACCATAGATTTACTCTTAATAGCTTCGAAAGCCTCGAGATATTGAAAAATTTAAATTTAAATCCTGTTGGTTGCTTAAATGCCCAGATAATGTCAGAAATTCCTCCTGTTTTTTCAACACTAATCTAAATTTATCTTTCTAACTTCCTTTTTAACCTCCCCCCTTTATTTCTATTCATATATTTTCTTGCAAGGGGTACATTTCAGTAAGTAATTTTTTTCCCATAAGAAACCAACGAGCACGTTTAAAGATTAGGTTAGATTGTGTGATTTCACATGCGTCATTTTCTTCTTTTCTTCTTTTATTCTTCAGTTGCTTCACAACAGTTAACCCAGTCATTTCTTCTTCTATCTTCTTCCTACAACATCACATACACTTGGTGATTGGTTCATGGCCCAAATCTTATATAATAAATAATAAATATTTCTTCACTCATAGTTTACATCTTATTACCTATACCCTGTCATGGGTTTACCCAAGAATTTTTTTGTTAATACGTGCCACCACCTGTAGAGGCCTTAACTTGACAGGTCTCCTTTCAAAAATGTTAGTTTTTTGAAAAAACAAGGTTGTTTAAAATAAGCCTCTTTTAATCTGTTTAATGTATGTGATTTGTTTTGTATAGTCTTGAATATTTTAAATTTTACTATTTCAATTGACTAATATTTGTTTTTCAAATATTTTTAACTTTTTATTACTTGTAAACTTTGTTCATTTTACAATTTATTTCACCCCACATTTGATGAAACTTGTTTTGTAGTATTCCCTAGTGGATGAAGAGTATGGTGAGTTTTCTATTTTTCACTATTTTATATATCGTTTGCTCTAAGTGTTAACACACCTTACACCACATATTCTCCTTTCCACTAGGCGAGCCTGAAGATAAAGTGATGACACTTCGAAATCGGTCGCACTCAATGTTTTATTAAATAATTAAACATTGACTTTCCTTGTGAGATATAAAGGACTTTTTCTCCCCCTTCACCTTAAAATTACCTCAACTCACACATGGCTACCCCCCTTGTCAATCTTTTTCTTTTATTAGCGTAGAATTTTTAAAGGTGCAATTATTTAAAAAATCAAGTTCTACGCCTATGTATTATTATTGGACAAAATTTTAATACCATTTTTTTTGCCACACAAAACTCTACCAATATACTAAATTTCAGCAAAATCGCATATGCCGTTTTAAATTTATATGGGAAAAACGATTTAAAAATTGTAACTTCAAGGCCCTCTGGAGCCCAAATGAAGCAACTTTGTACTAAGGTAATTTTACTTAAATCGACTTATTTTGGTCTAAGAA